GGCGCCCTTGACAATTTGGCGCCCTAGGCAGCTGCCTAGGCTGCCTGACCCCTAAACGGGCCCTGACTAGTTAAGCGAACTTTGCTAAGTAAATCTAGCATAAACTGTATTTTTACCAGCGTAACCTTATTCTGAATCAATCGTTTACTCACTTATTTAATACAGAATCGACAAGAAATTTAATTTGTACCCCCCGACCATGGGGGGGGGAGTGCAAAATTAATGCACCCCCATGGTCGGCCACAGGAAACCGCTCAAGGGCCACAGCTTGGCGCTGCTGCTTTGAATTGTATCATAACGAGAACGTAGGTCAAGAAAATAGTAGCGGTCTGCAAAATATAATGCGTAATATAAACACAATTATGTACGTAAATTACTGTCAATATTTGCATAAAGAAATTGAATCAATATATTTACATACCGTTCCCAAAAACCCGTACGAAAGAAGGAAAAACTTTCCCCCAGTCAACCCATCCTGTCCTGGACTATTTTTCATAAACACTTTCACATACACCAAAGAATTTCCAATCGATGATGCCCCATGAAATTTGATATTTTTAACTTCTTTCATGACAACATATCGTTGAATGTGTGTCGCCTATCAAATACATAAATTATACAAAATTAATTTTATTACGTTATCTTTTGGGGACCATTAACATATATATTACGTCATCAAAAAAACACCAAACTTTTCACCACCCATTCAGTCTTTCTCTACCTACGTCATTTTAAGCTTAAAATGAGCAGCGACCAAAAACCACCCGTCCACCTTATATGTAGATGTCATAACCTATGGACATTCCCTTACAAATTTTAACAACCTTCAAATGAGCTTCCGCCGCGAATCAGAGTATAGCGAAGTAGAAACTGTAGTACTCGATCAGTTGCAGTTTAAACGCCCACCGTTGGTTATTCATGGCTTCGACAAATGTGGCCGCGCCGTAGGATACAATCAGAAGAAATGTGACTAGAAGATAAGTGCTGTTTAACGCGTTTATCTTGCCAATTATTCCTTTCATTGTTGCGAAGTCACCAAGCATTCGCTACATTACGCAGGAATAAAATCGTTTAAAGAATCGCTACTAAAATTAAACATATAATTTAATAAATATCAATACAACTTTTTTTTAGCTACACACGGATTTTCAAAATAGGTATAGTCAAAAACCAAGTCGAAAATTAAGAATCACGTTGCACTTATCTGAATGACCCATTGGGGGTAAATTTACCCAAAAGCGAACATCCATACATTACGTCGTCAAAAAATTATCGATTTTAGCACGCACCCACCCAATGTAAACATTAAGGGATAGGGAATTTTAACATGGGGGGGACAGGAAGACGTAAACAATCCACCCACTAAAATGATGACGTAATATAAGCCCGTCCCTAAACCTGAAATATACCTTTAATATTTTTCTTTGAAGGGGCCATTCAACGAGAACATTTATAACAGTGCGATATTTTTTTACATTTTGGCTTGATTTTTTGATATAACTTCCTCCAAAATCCTGGTCTAGCTTGAAAAAAAGTGCATTTCATAACCTGCACTGAACCCTCGTTAGATAGTTTTACTCGATGCACCACCTCGTACGCTGCAACGGCGGAAATCAGGACAAACACTTCGCCCAAAATTGACAGGAAATACCAATTAAAGTCGATTATGAATGCAATTCCAACAATCACTTTAGTTCCCCAACATGTCTCTGAAAAATTATAAATTGTTGAGTTATTTGTTCCAAACGTTTTTGCAAGTTTCTCCATAAAATTATCCATGACTGGAACTGGGTTTAGATTCTCGTCAAAGAAGGTAAACTGCAAATAGTCCAAAATCGTAATGGTTGGAACGAGAAGAGACAATGTAATGGTAAGGATTCTGGCCTGCAAACATTATCGAGAAGAATATTTTATTCATGACCTGAAGATTCTAAATATAATTGGGAGATTGCGAATTTACGGGGTTATAGTAACATTTTTAAGTTAACGCAGAGCGTAATACTGACTTTACTTTAGCGTTGTGTCCGTTAGGGTTTCCGCAGTATTTTAAAATTCAGATTTTAGGGGAGAATAACATTGTTACGGAAGCGATAAATCTTTAGGTTTCAAGTGCAAAGGCAGACGGTTCAAGTTTCGAGTCAATTTTTAAAAAAAGCTTAATGCGTACACGAAGTGAATAGACTGCACCTTAGCATTTACGATAAGGGTAAATTTAGCATTTCTGTTAATATTTAGTGCACACACGTTATTTCGCAATCTCCCTAATTTAACCAACCTTCAGTCGTAAAGGCTGCATGGGTAATTGCAACACGTCTTTTACTTGATGTTTCTTAAACCAAACCGTGTTGGCAACCAGAAATGTGTACGATCCCCAAAAAAAGAAATTAGCCAATTCAAATATCATTTCCGGATGAATTCCAATATTGTCCGTGAACTGGCGACGGGTCGTCATTACGCTTAAACAGCAGAGTGCAACATAATGGGCAAAAACTATAGATTTTTGAAACTTGTTAGCATACAGCTTTATTTTATTGTCAGGGTGAAAACTTATCCAAAATGGGGAAAGGCAAAGGATGAACATGAAATTGAATAGTGTTTTAAAATAGTGTGGAAAATTGTAACAGCTAGTTTGATCTAGTGGCGTATCGAGTGGTAAGTTTGGAATTTCTGGTTTATAAGAGGTGGCCTTTTCAAAAAGTGCTTTCCGCACGTCCCTAATTTTTATCGAGTTTGTCACAATTTTGGCTTTGCGAGAGGTCCTGTTGTAATTATACATATAAATATGCAGGTTACAAACTAATGACTAAATGATAAATGGGTGTTAGTTACATAAAAATGCTTGTATTGAGCAAAATTAAATATTCAAGACCAGTATGTAGCAGTTCAGAGAAATTTTCAATAACGGAAACGCATTAAGATTGAGGATACGTTTCTTACAAGGTAGCCTTCCAAGGTGATATTCTCGGAATGCTAATTCCCCACAGTTTCAATGGGCACTTGCATAATCTAAAGTAGGTTTCAACAGGGAAATTCCTTCGTTTTACTCCAAAGCTGGTAAACTACTAAATATATTGTTACGATTGTTCTCTAAATTATAAATTAAGTAAACTAAATTCATAGTAATTAAATTGTCTTTAATCTTGATTTAATATAGTATGTGTTCCTTATTTAGAATTTAGAGTCCATTTAATGTTCAAAGTGCCAACACTATTTTTAAGTGCGAGTCGATACTTTATTATAGGTGGGAATGCGAGGCTCGTAGGACACATTGGAAGGTTCCTTTGTTATTAATAACTTCAAAATGTTTACGTACTTAATTTACATTTTTGTATGTACGGTGCATCCTCTCGCGTTATGCAAATCAATGAGGGCTATTAATTTGGTATGAAATTGCCTTTATAATGGAATTATGCAATCCTTTTATTCGTATGGATGTAGTAGACGAGTCCAATCCACTTGAACCCGATTTTCGAAATTTTGTGGCTTTATTAAAAATATTGCGACAACGGTAAAAGTTAGCAATAAACTGTTGTGGTTTTCGAAATCTCCATTAAATTTGCTATAGAATCGATGCATTTCACAATAATGGCACATTTCCAGAATGACAACACACCAGCATTTGTGCCATGAGTACAAAAGGTGCCATTAATAACTTTGCTAACTGTACATGCTTATGTATGCATGCTATCTACAAGTAAAAATTATTAATGAAGCTAACAATGAGGAGGTGTGAGGTGGTTATCGCAGATTTGAATGAGACCACTTCAGTTTGATAGTCCAGCTCAATAATATGAAGGTTTGGTTTATCAATTTTTTGAATGTGCAGATTTAGCAAAGTTATCCAGAGGTAAAGTTGGCGAAAAGCTGGATTTGGCTGTGCGAAAAGCGATACATTTTCCACTCTCGTTCCTCTCACGCTCGCTTCCTCTAGGGCTCGCATAGATTTTCCTGGCTGGAGGTCATTGGTTTTCACTATAATTTTTTCTATTCACCACTTTCTCATAGTTTTACTGCATTTTCTTCAGTTTTGTGTTACAATTTTAAATAATGGAGTCAATAAAACTTTCCAACCAACTGTAATTTCACGACATTTGTAAATTCGGCAATTATTAAATGTACAGGGAAAAAATTGCGGTGCGATTTGTTGTGCGCTTGAAATCGGTTGTGACGACTTTTGCCATAAAAATCAAGTAATAACCTGTATTAAAACCCCGTTCGATAATTGATAATCCAAATATTTACAGTTGAGAATAAATAATTTGTTGTCCATTCACGATCACAATCCGAGTATTTTATCGAAGGTAATTTATTAAAATATTTGCATGGTCTAGTCTAATTTATGTAATTTTTAAAACTTATTTAATACTACTGAACTGATAAATAAGATATTATTATTGAGATCAATTAATTTAGTTTTAAATTTAAATGAGAGGAATGATGAGGTTGCATGAAAACCAATGACCTCCAGCGAGGAAAAACTATGCGAGCGCGAGAGGAACGGCCAACGGGAGTGGAAAATGTATCGCTTTTTGCACAGTCAAAAATCAAGCGTTTTCGCCAACTTTAACTCTGGATAACTTTGATAAATCTGCGCATTCAGAAAATTGATAAGCCAAACTTCCATAGTATTGAGCTGGGCTATCGAACTGAAGTGGTCTCATTCAAATTTGCGATAACCACCTCACACCTTCGCATTGTAAGAATCCAAATTGTTACGACGGGAAATAAATAAATATGTGGCAGAACAAAATCCTGCATGAATCTACATATCTGTTCTTAACATGGATGATACATACATGCGGCCAGTCATACTGGAACTGGGTATGGTCTAGTATGCAAATACAAGAAGTATGGGTATATACACAAGTAACTTGTTTTAATTCTGCGTGCACATGTACATACGTATACAAAACATGTATGTATGTATATGTAACTGATCCCGCATATGTTATGGAATATTGCGTTATGAGACACAACTTATTTACTACGTAAATCTACAGTGACGATCATCTGATTCACTAAAAAGTTTTATGCATGTTAGAATTTTAATAATATCCAGCAATATTTTGTGACATGCTGAAATGTGGAAATCTAAAAATAAAAGGAAAAATAGGAAAGGTTCTTATGTGTCGAGGGTGTACCGAGATTACGAATTTATCAGGGACCTAGGTCGTGGAAGCTATGGTGTCGTTTGGTCTGCCAAATTAAAAGAATCGTCTTCATATGAAGAGAAATTTGCTGTTAAGAGGATTTTTCCCAGGTAAGATTTATAGAACATATATTTTTTAAATATATTCAAATATTTATATTCAAATGTATTTGCATAATATGTAAATATGTAAATATGTACACGCTTACAATTATTATTTTACCCTTTTGAAGAGTAAATGCAACCTAAATTCTGTGCGAATTAATTGTAAAGCTATAGTACTATTCATATCTGTAAAGTTAGCCTTACTCAGGATTTATCAAGCGTGTCGAAAATACACGAAATTCAAAATACAATAAGATACCTGAAATTTACAAAATACAAATAAGTTCTATTTTGTATCTTGTAGGTTATATTTTGAAACACTATTTTTCCCGCATCTGGGGAATTATGCAGGGAATTTAGTTTGCTTAAGCCTCTATGGTATGCCTCGTCTCAAGTTCCCCCTTATGAAATGTACGTCATGCTTCCTTATGGAGACCTTAAAATATTTTCATCTCCGTTAATCTCGAATAAAATTTAAATGTGACTACTTTAAAAAATTATATATTTTTAATTTCACAAATCACAGCCAGCCGATTGTTGAAAAAAAATTCCTTAACTGTAAAATGCGGCACACTTTGGAGGAAGGAATTTTTTTTCACATTTAATTTCATTTGAGATTAACAGAGATGAAAACATTTTAAGGTCTCCATAAGGAAGCATGACGTACATTTTTTAAGGGAGACCTTGAGACGAGGCATACCATAGAGGCTTAATATGGAATTTAGGCTGGGTACATATGTATGTACTTTTCAGAAGGGTAACGTCACTTCTAAGAGTGCAGTATATATTTACAAAGGGGTAATAAAGTACAAAATTATCTAGGGACGACACTGAAGGATTCGATAATTTGAGACAAACTGAAAACGAACTGGAAGCACTGTCCAAGCTACGCGAATCGCAACATCCAAACATTGTTGAAATTTATACCGCCTTAATTGAAAAACCACCGCTGGGCTGGGTAGAAGACGAAGATGCACTCTATGCCAGCTTTCTGACAAGGTTTGTTGCCTCAATTATATATGTAAACACTTCTAGGAATCACGCATGTATTGTATGTATAAGTGTTCTTAGAATTAAAGGTGCTACGGTAGCACTGGTACCTATGTATGTAGTTGTTACTAGGAGCTTACCTATGAATACAAACAAATATATCGACGCCAGAATACGAAGAAAAATAATAAGCCAAACAAATAAATATGTATGTATAATGTATAATGTTAAAATAAAGATAGGTGAATGGTGGACATTTTGAAACGGAGTCATACATATCAGAGAATAAAGCTTGGTTGGGCATTTCCCATCTCGTTATCTCCGGCTGCCAGCTAACTCCTCAGATTTACAAATGAATGGATGGGGGCAAACACAAAGAGTATGAGTAAAAAATTTGAATGACTGCAATACCTGTAACATTTTTAAGTAATTATCTCGCTAATTACAGTCGCTAGAAATTCTTTTTCGCTTTAAACAGTTTCACAATTTCAAAATACTTAAACGATTATAATCTGGAACTGTTCAACTTTTTTGAGTGACTGTAATACCAGTACTACCTTAACCAATTATCGCAGTAATTATAAAAAAATTATAACTACATTACAGCTTTCGATAAAGTTTGTTACAATTTTTTTTAATAACAATCGTCGCGTCATGCGTGTTTGTCCCCCTCAGCTGCCAGTATGTAGCTTCCAATGCTGAAAAGCCTTACGGCAGCTTAGTCGGGCACAGCATGTCCCTGCCCGACCAAGCTTTATTCTCTGAAACATATATCTATGAATACTGCTAGGGATTATTTTACAACAAGATTTGTAACAGTTCGAGTTCTACATAATTTATTTAACAGGGAAACGTCCATATATTACGTCATAATTTTAGTGGATGGGTAGCTTACGTCTTCTTATCTTTCCCGTGATAAAATTCCCTATCCCTTAATATTTACGTTGGATGGTTGGGTGCTAAAAGCGCGAATTTTTGATGACGTAATACATGGGTGGGCCATAATGTCTACCTAATTTTATTCTTATTCCAGTTCCGATGGGGAAATTAATGTCGACTTGTTAGACTCGTGCACGGGCCCTGACGATTCAGGGAAAATATGTCCCATCACGATTGTACAGGAATTTTGTTCGGGTGGGAGTTTGAAAACTTGGCTGCAGGATACGCCTCTTGAAAGTAGAGAACCTGATTTATTGCTAAATTTTGCCACACAAATGGCAGACGGATTGCGGTTTCTTCATCACCGAGAAATCATCCATCGGGATCTCAAACCTGGGAATATTTTTCTCCGGCGATTTAAAGGAGTAAGAAATATTTTAATTTATTTGTAAATTTATCTTGCGAATTTTTTAAAATCTACAAGTTGTGCTATTTCTTCGATAAGGATCAAGTTGTGCTAAAGCTGGGGGATTTTGGTTTGTCAAAATTTGTGGTAAATCTGTCTGATGAGACTGGTTTGACAGCAGATGGACTTGGAACTTCATTATATTTGAGTCCAGAACAGGTAATACATGTCAAGCTTGAGAAATTTAGGAAATTCACGTAGTCCTTTGTTACACTTAAATCAGTACATTTTTTTGCAAAATTTTACAAACAAATATTTTTGAGTAAAATAACCTTCAGAAATTTCATATATTAAACTTGCTCAAACCAAGAGGGTCCGTGTGTTTTGTAAAAGCTTGCTGAATTTTGTGTTTTGGATACGGAATTTTAACATGTAAAACGTAGAAAGACCTAAACCACCCTCCCACTAAAATGATGCGTTAATAAATATGTGGTCGTTCCCAATCCGAATCTTATTCCAGTCCCCGTTTGTGAGGATTCACCCACCCCGATTCTGAATGGTTCAGAATTTGGCAGATCGGGATTCAGTTTCGGATCTGGGTTATCTTAAACCCAGCCAACTTCAGATTAATGCGGAGTACTGATTGCCTCAATTAGAATTAGTGAGGCAAAAAAAATGTTAAACATGTTAAAGAAACATTTATCTTTCTACAGGAAAACAATCAGCCGTACGGATTCAAGGTGGACATTTATGCATTAGCTCTAATTATCGCAGCTTTATGTATTCCAAACCCTGCAAAATCTGTGCAATGGCAACTCAAAGATCATTTCAAAGGACAATTAACACAACCTCATCCAGCACTTGATCAAATTCCTGCACCCGTCAGGAGTCTGATTAGTGAGATGATGTCCACCGATCCAGACAAGCGACCTACCGCGTGCGAACTGCATTCTAGGCTGAATGAAATGTGGCGGGACAATTTAGAACTCCCGATTTACAGATGGGACAAGACAAATTCACCCGTTATCTCAGGAAACGTGAAACGATTCGAGTTACTCGAGCTTTTAAGACTTCATGATGAAGGCCAGGAAAATGTAGTGTTTCTAAGCGGGGAAGCGGGTTCCGGCAAAACGACATTGGCGGTTCAGTTCTCACAACTAATTGAAACCAACGGAATTGGAGAATCGGTAATTTGGATCGACACAAATTATCAATTTCACATTAAAAACCAACTCGAGTCGCTGGGATGCCGGGTTCGAGCTAACATTTACCGCTCCAGTGGACATCGAGTCGCGGTAAAATATTTGTTATTTATGTACCTGTTCGAACTCATTTCTTAAATTTAAGTTTTCGAACTAATTTAGGAGCCGTTCAGTATTTACAACAATAATGACAATCTAGAACCCCGCCCCCCACCCACTCGGGTTACATAATCTGTGAACAACCCCTAATTTTTCTAACATTAATTTAATAACATGAATAAATCAACATGAATTTTACAGATCGGCGAAATGATACAAGAAATCCATAAAAGTTTCCGGGGTAAAAAATGGGTCCTCATGCTGGACGACTTGGCCCCCTCACCATATGCAGACGCGCTACTTCTATATTTACTAAAATTGGTTGGAGTTAAACCATTTGTAATTGTGTGTACACGAAGACCCAATTTTTTCTTAAACGACATTTTACAACGGCGACAAAACTACGTAGATAAAGATTTCGATGAGGGATATAAGATTGCAAGGTAATATTTATGTAAATTAACATTGGGGACCAAACCATGATCAACCCAGATTATTTTTTGACAATGTTATTTTGAAAGAGTAAGTCTTTAAAATAAACATTTACAAAACATGTGTACTGCAGCATGTGTGCAGGTGAGAAATAAGTTTTGGGCGCAGCATATTTCGCGAACACGTGGTTTTAAGCGAAGTTTTTAAGCGGAAACTGTGGTTAGTTGGAGCAGTTCGCGAACTTGGGGCGTCAAAAACTCACCGAATTATTACGTATCTGCACAAGAGCCGCAGTAAATGTTGTCTCTAAAGAGCTGATCTTTCAAAGAAAACATTCATATTAAGGAAATAATCTGGGTTGAACATGGTATGCGTCGCAAGTTTTACTTAATTTGTAGAAGTTCCTGGCAATGTTCTACATTACTCCTTGGACGAAATTGCCTAAATTTCTATGTGTGTTCCAACTGTGACTGCTTGTTCGAGCATACTGCAAAATGTGTTTTATTTACGTTTTAGCTAGGTAAACTTTCTCGCGCGAAAAATCCGTCCTGAATACTAGGCTTAAATCTGACTAAAATTTACAGGATGATGCAAAATGCATGGCGAGACATCCCGGAGGAAATAAATCCACCCGAAATTCTTATCAAGGGGTCCGAAAACAACTTAATACTGCTCGAATTTCTCACTGAATCGTTGCGAGTTCCCATAACCCGGCTGCACGTCAAACTTGGAGAATACCTGGAGTGGAACCCGCTTGCCCTGCGACTCGCCACCTGCACCATTTGTGCCCATGATAAGCTCCCAGTAAATACGAGGGACGCTCTCATTCAGGACGCGGAAGAATACATCGCACTTTTTCTTCAGCTATGCGAAGAATTCAGGGAAAATGGACCCCCACAATTTCATCGATATGATAAACAAATTCCGACCAACTACACGGACTCGTTCTCTCTTAAGGTGGTCTTGCATCTGACTATGTGTCAAGTTGAGACAGGTAGGTCAATAATAATTTTGGATACTTCCACATACAACGTAATATATGGAAGATCACTATTCAATGAATTAATGAATAATGAATGAGTGAATATGTTTTTCAAAATTTTTGAATACATGGTTCTTGCATATGTAATTATTTATTGACTTCATATTCATGAAAGAATTTATTCACTACATATTTAGTTAATTTTCACGCCATACTTAATACATCGGATATTTTGACAAATTCGTCCAACCAGGCGATTAAAAATAAGATGAGCACATTTTGAACAATGAATTTACGTATCTTTATTTTTAACTTTTGAACAAATCAACAATGACAAAATAATTTTTTCCAATTTTAAATTGACCACATTCTGAGTGAAGAAATATTTTTTGAACAGCTCTATCGACAAAGCCGGGACTGTTGGACACTTTGAAAGAACTTCAGTTGTACATGATTCTATATGCGGATGACAGAATGGTGCCGGAGCATCTTTTAAACGATGATGGACAAAACACCGCATGGGATGTCCTTTCTATTTACGGCTTGGTACGAGAATGGACTAACGATGCGGGAAACATTAGGCACGCGCATATTTGTGGTAATCACTGTATTGATATAATGGCCGTCGAAGGGGAGGAATTTGATGACGAACTAGATTACGGAATTCCACAAGGTGGTTTTGTTAGGTACAATTATCCAAGTGTGGAATAGATAATTTAATCGAATGGGACTTCCTAAAGAATTTTCCAGATGTAGATAGGTAAAATACTTTTGAGAAATACAGAATTTTGAGTTTCATCCTTCCCTGCGTTAGGATGTGCAGGGCTGTTACACCCACAAAAAGACGACAATCTTCGTGGGGAAGTTAGATGCCATCATAGGAAAATACATGATGTGTGAAGAAATAAGATTTTAATCAAAGTCGAAAATAAAATTACTTCACGATTTTTAAAATAAATACAACATTTTATATTTTTATAGCGTGAAAAATTAATTTCCTCAAAAAACCTGCATTTTCCACTGACAATTTATCTTCTCACCTTGATTTTCATACCTTTTTGTGGAGGTGGCAGCCAGTGTTTCGGGTGCAAGTAACCACCTGTAGGAAATAACCACAAGAAAGTGGTTTCTTGCAGCTATTTTTACCCGCAAGAAATGCAAGGTGCAAGAAACTCCTTCCCGCCGATGTAATTCTTAAGGCGCGTCGCTAGAGGGCGCTGTGTTTCTTGCATTTCCTGCAGTTTCTTGCACCTTACATTTCTTGCATTTCTTGCTTTACAGTGCAAGAAATTAAGCAAACCCGCAAGAAACGAAACACTGGTGGCAGCCCTGTGAACTCTGGGAAGAACGGAGATCAAAATACTCTATTTTGAAAGAGTATTTCCCCCTGCCTGATCTATATACATATGTATGATTGGCGAAGATAATCTAATTCCCTTCAAACACCTTTTGTCGGAAGTTAGTTCTATATTACAATTTATACCTAAATGACCCCATTGTATATTTACACATCCTTCCAATTACAAAATAGAACTTATCAATTTTAACGGAGTATGTAATTAACTATTAAGAATGACTACTTTATTTAATTTTATGGTATTACAATTAATAAAACCGGCTAAAACACAACTTAACAATAACTTCACTTAATTTGTTAGAATGAGAATGTAACGTTACCATGAATTAAAAATAATAACCACAGTTTTACTTCACACCATCGCCCTCCGAGGTCATCCGGAGGGATGGTGGTTTACATGTAGTATGCCGGCTCCGCGGCAGAGGACACGTACATTCAAAGCAAAAATAAAAAGTTCCCTAACTAACCAGCTCTCCCACACTACCACAACTCAGTGTTGGTTTGTACGTGGCAGAGGAAAGAACGTGCTCTCCCATTAAATTTTTTCCAAGATGTCGGACAACAAGGATAAAAATTCGGAAATCTTGCAAAAAAGGTAAATTTTCATTCTCTAAAGTCATCGCTAGCTCTAACAAAAAATTAGTATAGTTTTGTTTGTTAATGCGTGGCATTAATTATAACAATTTAATTAAATAGAAAATGTGATGAGAAAGATTCTGTTTCAAAGAAGAAAAAACCAGAACAAGAAAGCCTGAAATCATTGTCGCAGACAGTGAAAGAAAATTCAGAGAATATTCAGGCGCTCTCGGCGTTGCCGTTATCAATGAAAGAACAAACCGAAAAAGTAGACAAACTTTTAAAACTATTTGAAAATCATGAACATGATAAGGCGCTGTCTCATAATAATATATCTCTTGGAGATGACGACCCAATTATAAATCTGATTTCGTCGGTGGGTGCCACCGATAATACAGTGAAGGGTGAGACCTCACATAAGTACAAATAATACAAATAGTTGGTACAAATTTATATATGGTCTTACTTTGATCGCAGATCAATTTGACGATAATGCAATGGAAAATTCTGTGATTGAAGAAATTTTAAATGCAAGCCAAGTGGAAGAGGATAAACTGGGGGACCTTACGGTCCCCCAGTTGAGGATAAAATTGCTGCTGCATTTAAGAGGGTACTTACCCAAGCAATTTCGAAGGATCAGACAGAAAAGATCAAAAATGAATTAAAAATCCCAGATAATGTCAAAGAAATGAAAGCACCAAAAGTGAATTCTGAGATTTGGTCACAGCTTCCGAAACAAGCACAAGCGAGCGATGCATCGCAACAATTTATACAACAGTATATCTCAAGAGGTCTGGTTGCGCAGACGTCCGTGGCTGGTTTGCTGGCGACAAATGCTAATAAGATTGCACCAGATTTATTGAAAGAATTGTTATCAAAAACAATGGAAGCTGCCACACAATTCGGTGCAGCCCATAGAGAAATTAGCTTGAAAAGGAGGCAGCAAATACGGCCATTTCTTGCCCAGGAGAGCGCTGGAATTTGTGGAACGAGTATTCCAATAACTGAAAATCTATTTGGAAATAATTTGGAGAAAGATCTGATGTCGGTGCGGACTTCAGCAAAGATTGTGAAAAACCTTTCACCCGCGTTTCGTGGCAACTTCCGTGGTGCATTTACTCGAGGATCTTGGTCTTCAAATCAATATAATGCAGGTGGTTCACGCCCGAATTTAAACTGGAGAGGGCCTCTCCGATCGAGGGGAGGCCGAAGACCATTTCGAGGGAGATCATTCCAATCCCGCCAGCAAAATTAAACGTAATTAAAATATCTGGTAGATTAAAATACCATTTACAAAATTGGGCAGATTTGACTGACGATAAGTATGTACTTGAAACAATAGCGGGTTATAAACTTCCATTTATGTCTTTACCAGAGCCACAAAATAGTTCGTATCCTCAGGTATTTAATAACACTGAAGAACAGTTTATTACGGAAGAAGTTTCTCGCCTCCTTCAGATAGGAGCGATTTCAATTTCTCAGGAAGAGAGTGGCCAATTTGTGTCCCCAATTTTCACGGTTCCAAAACCAGACGGTAAAAGACGGTTTATTTTGAATCTTAAAAAACTTAACAGTTATTTAAAATGTCCACATTTTAAGATGGAGGACTATAGAAGTGTTCTAAATATTATTCGCCCCAATATGTATATGGCAACCTTAGATTTGTGCAATGCTTATTTTCCTGTCCCTGTTGATGAAAATTTTAAGAAATTTTTGAAATTCCGAGGAGGAACTCTATATTGTTTTAATTGCATTCCGTTCGGTTGCTGCACGTGCCCATTAGTTTTTACTAAACTCCTGAAGCCTGTTTTTGAGAAATTAAGATCCATGGGTTACTTGTCAGTACGATATTTGGACGATTTTTTATTGTTTGGTCTTACGGAAGAATTATGCACCAAAAATGTAGTCGCTACACAAGAACTTTTAGAAAGTTTAGGATTCACGGTTAATTTTGCCAAGTCCTGTCGCATCCCATGTAAAATTATAAAATTTTTGGGGTTTGTATTTGATTCTTCGAGCATGACATTGGAACTACCAGAATGTAAAAGAGTCAAAATTAAGGAATTGTCAGAAAGAATACTGTTGAGCTCAAACCACCTTAAAATTAGACAAGTTGCTGAATTGCAAGGTTGCTATATTTCAGCCTATCCTTCTATACCTTATGGGTTATTATATACTCGATCTTTAGCAATTGATATCCAATTTGCTCTGGATAATAAGAACAATAATTATGATAAGTCAATGTGTTTATCAGCCGATTCAGTATCGGATATTTTGTGGTGGAAAGAAGCAATAGTTAAAAGTAGATTTACAATTAATGATGATAATTATAATATAGTTTTTAGTACAGATGCGTCACCCCATGGATGGGGTTGTTTTTATAATGGGGAAATTGGACATGGTACTTGGTCATCAAGCGAATCGAAATTACATATAAATGTACTCGAGCTTTTAGCAATTGAACGAACCCTACATTTATTTTCAACGAATTATAATAAGTGTCGCATCTTATTAAAGGTAGACAGTCAAGTCGCTATCTCGTACATAAATTGTTTTGGGGGGTGTCACTCAAGAGAGTTGCACAACACAGCCAAGCGTATTTGGCAGTTTTGTGAAAAAAGGGAAATTTTTATAAGGGCCACTTATATTGAAAGTAAGAAAAATGTTGAAGCTGATTTTGCATCTCGAATACAAATCGAGTCAGAGTGGATGTTAGGCAAAAGTTATTTTAATACAATTTGGCAAAAGTTTGGCAACCCTGACGTTGATCTTTTTGCATCTGGTATGACTAGACAATGTGACCAGTTTTATTCCTATCTTCCAGAAGCACAATCAGCCGGAGTAGATTCTTTTACAATTCATTGGGCAGAAAGTTTACTTTATGCTTTTCCTCCGTTTTGTTTAATAACGAGAGTTCTAAAGAAAATTCGAACTGATAAATGTAGGTGTATTGTTGTGGTACCATTGTGGAAGAGTCAAGTTTGGTATCCAGAATTTGAGAGAATGCGTCAGTCAAGTCTGTTAATTTTTGGTCCATGTAAAGATTTATTAATCTCTCCTTTTTCAAGCAGACCCCATCCTCTTCACAACAGTCTCCAATTGGGCGCAGCAGTGTTACAAGACAGTCTTTCTTAAACAATGGTTTATCTCCAGAAGTGTGTGAACTCTTATTGTCATCATGCGCGTCGTCCAGTTTGAAACAATATGAATCATATCTGCGCCGATGGGAGGCATATTGTGTTAAAGTTGGAATAGATATTTTCGTGTCAAGTTTACAGCATGTGCTTAATTTTTTGACTGGTTTGTATAAGGAAGGGGTAGGCTACAGTGGCGTAAACACTGCAAGGTCGGCTTTATCATTAATTTTAAGTCCTATCAATGGTGTGGATGTTGGGAAACATCCACTTGTAATTAGACTACTTAAAGGAGTTTCTAAATTAAGGCCTGCGCACCCAAGATATGATACTGTATGGGACGTTGATTTAGTTTTGAAAATGTTTGCCTCTTGGCCTAAAAACTCCGATCTTTCGATATTACAATTATCAATTAAATTAGTCTCTTTGTTAGCATTGGTGACAGGTCAAAGAGTTCAGACTTTGTCATTTATAAAAATAGGTAATATAAAACGTCACGTTAATGTAGAAATATTTATTCCTGATTTGATAAAGACGTCGGGTGTAAACAGGAACCAGCCATGTTTGTTGCTATTACCGTATAAATTGTGTACAAAACTTTGTGTTGTGAAATGTTTAGAAGAATATTTGAAACGTACGGAAAGTATTAGAAAATGTGACAAGTTATTAATTAGCGTAATGTCTCCCTATAAACCAGTATCGACACAAACTATAAGCCGATGGTTGAAACAATGTTTATCTCATGCTGGTATTGATATATCTATTTTTAAATCGCATAGCTTTAGGCATGCAAGTACGAGTAAGGCCGCAGCGAAAGGTGTGAATTTAGACATTGTATTTTCACGAGCAGGGTGGTCTCTTAAATCAAAGACGTTTGCTAAGTTTTATAATAAGCCGCTAGATAAGCGAGGTGATTTTGTAAATGCAGTACTACCTCTTTTATGAATTGGTTGTACTATTTTTATTTCTAAGATGATTGTCAATAAATGCATTATTATTGTTAATTTTTCATTCGCGCCAAAGTGTTCTTTAAACGACTACATGTAAACCATCATCCCTCCGGATGACCTCGGAGGGCGATGGTGTGAAGTAAAATTAACGATTAATCGAGCCTTACCTGTAAGGTGAGAAATTGATCGTAATTTTACGATCACCAGAGCCCGAACGAGGTCAGTCCCACCACACCCATCCCTATTTTCTTAGTGGCCAGTGACCACTGGTCACTTTGTCGCTATTGCTTTGGACTATCTGAGTTGTGGTAGTGGGGGAGAGCTGGTTAGTTAGGGAACTTTTTATTTTTGCTTTGAATGTACGTGTCCTCTGCTGCGGAGCCGGCATACTACATGTAAACCATCATCCCTCCGGATGACCTCGTTCGGGCTCTGGTGATCGTAAAATTACGATCAATTTCTCACCTTACAGGTAAGGCTCGATTAATCGTTAATTTTGGTTTTTACCACCTTTTAAAATGCCAGCAACAAATTAATCGTGTAATACCCAATATTCCACACAATAAGCGTCATTCATGGCTTCGTTGCCATTCCCAAAGGCCTATTCGTAAT